TTAAGTCGAGAACGCGGAGTGACATTTGTTCGTACGGAAGTTTCGTTACCGAATAAATCGTCGTCGGGAAAACTCGTCGACTAGGCGCTCGCTACGCTCTGGACGAGTCCGCCGTTTGCATTCGTAAACACTATTACTGGGCGTGGCTTGTCATAATATTAACCCTTTTATTTATTAAGAAGAAAGTGAATAAACGTATCGATAAATACTTGGTGATATTACAAATTTTATACACGTAGCGTGTTTTATTGAATCCCTAGAACCAATGAATATAGCCACGGTCAATTATCGCGACGGAATTTTGGTCGATAAACGAGGCACTAGTGTTCTAACAGAAAGAAAACTTGTCGAATAACAAAATTGAGCGATACATCGGTTCTAACAGTAGTCACCCTGCATTTTCACACAGATTTTCATCGTCGATTCGAAAGAGACTTCGTACAACGACGATCGTTTCAAGAAGTGACCAAATTGGAGCAGCCTTTTTACGGTCGGTCGGATGGCGATATTTCATTTCCCCGAGATAATACGGAGTCCTGGCGTATTTCAAACACTCGTGGAACCTCGATATCCAGGAGACTTTGGTCGCGAGGCCAGATCCCTCGGTTCTTTTTGCGAGGGACGCCTGTCGTCGACGGTTCGGCCAGAAACGGTCCGAGCGTTCGAGCACTACGGATTTAATGTCTTCATAATTGCACGGTCCCGACCGGCAGAGCTATTCCGTCGTGCTCGTGGCTTTCTTGCGGCTCAAATCATTTCGTAGCGTTCTCGAGGGACTTCGAGGCGTTCTGTCCCGGTCCACCCGTTATAGCTACGGGAATCGTCCCGGTAATCTTCTTGTCAGGCGTCCGTACGCGAACGAGGAAGTTGCGTTTAATTAAAGAGAGCCAAACCGACCGACTATGCAAAGCAAAAGTTGCTTTCTTTATTTGTATACTCTCAGATCCGCCTCCCGGGGAAATAAAACCACGCTCTAGACAGCGACTCAAACAAGAAACTACAACTCCCACAATTTTTTATATTTTAGAATGAAAAAAATACTGTATATGCTCAGGGGGTGAGCAAATATGTCTGCAAAATCTCAATGTAAAATAGCTTGCTCAGCACCGGGGAAAAAATCGCAAATGGAGTCGAGAAAATATCAGTCTGGACCAGCAAGAGAAGTCCCCTCGCACGAGAAGTTACAGCCCACACAATTTTCGATATTTTTGCCCCAAAAAAATACTTTGCGTGCTCGTAAGAGTGACAAATATATCTGCAAAATCTCAATGTAAAATAGCTTGCCCAGCACCCGAGAAAAAAATCGCAAATGGAGTCGAGAAAATGTCAGTCTAGACCAGCAAGAGAAGTCCCCTCGCACGACAAGTTACAACTCCCACAATTTTTTATATTTTCGAACGAAAAAAATACTGTATATGCTCAAGAGGTGAGCAAATATATCTACAAAATCTCAATGTGCAATAGCTTGTCTAGCACCGAAAAAAAAATCGCAAGTGGAGTCGGAGAAAATGTCAGTCTGGACCAGCAAGGTCCCCTCGCACGAGAAGTTACAACTCCCACAATTTTCGATATTTTTGCCCCAAAAAAATACTGTATATGCTCAGGAGATGAGCAAATATATCTGCAAAATCTCAATGTAAAATAGCTTGCCTAGCACCGGGAAAAAAATCGCAAATGGAGTCGAGAAAATGTCAGTCTGGACCAGCAAGGTCCCCTCGCGCGAGAAGTTACAACACCCACAATTTTCGATATTTTTGCCCCCAAAAAAATACTGTGCGTGCTCGTAAGAGTGACAAATATATCTGCAAAATCTCAACACGGAACGGTTTACCCAGCGCTGAGAAAAAAATCGCGAAGAGCAGTCGAGAGTATGGCGGAAAAGGGACACCCCTTGGCGCGCATCGGTTCGAATCGTGGAATCTTTGGGGCGCTCCGCCACCCCCTTGGCGGGCTATCTTATTGCGCTTACGCGTCCGGGAATAAATTGGCCGTAAGTGCGGCGATCGGCCGTTGGATACTTAGGAAGTAATGCGGTCTCGCCCGAAGCATTCGGTGCGCTGAAACTGGTTCGAAACCAGTCAGAGGCGTCGAGAGCTGTCCCGGCGATTCCGACCTCGCGATACGTCATTCACAGAGGGGGAGGGGGGGGAGGGGAAGTCCAAGAACGAACGAACCGAACACCGAGGGGTTCGAGCTAGGAAAACTAATTGGATTCGTTCTCGTTAATATTGCTTTTGTAATTGTTGCGTCGCGTCGCGGCGAGAATAGCGCTCGATCCGGTGACCGTCGTTCATTAACGTTGCTCGCGGTGGAAAATGTTAATAATTCCCGTTCCAATGACGTTACGTAGACGCATTGTGGCACGACGGTCGCGAGTTTGCCGTCCCATTCCCAACGACCTGTTATTTATCGCCGTTGCGAACCAGCATTCGACGCGTAACGTTTGCGACGACGAATTGGCTTTCGGAACCGGAGACGGTGTGTCCCCTGCAATTTAAACTTGGACGTAGTACGATCGATCGCGATGGAAACGGTACCCTAAATCGAAAGGGATACGAGAAGCTGACTGGAGCTACGCGGTTCGCGAAGGTTGTTACCGCGATTTAACTATCATTTATGTGGAATTAAACGTAAGCCAGTCCGGTTACGTTTGGGAGCCTCAATGGAAGCACGAGATACCAGACACGGTAGCGCGCTAATTCTCGATTAAGTCCGATTTATAGTTTCACGGGGAGAGCCAGTTTTCAGACGTAGAAACTCCCGGGCCGATTTTAAAGGAAAGGGGTTGATACTGTCGTTACGGTAGTTTTCCTGGATTTTTACGAGATTCGATTACGTTTCTATCTATCGTAGGCCACGCACAACTGGAAGTTATAAAATATAGGAACGCGAATCGAATTGTTCGAAGAGAAAGCAAAAAGGAGATACGATAGGAAGTATAAAATCTTACCGTATAATTTCACTTGAGAATCTCTCGAGCGTGTCGTAAATATCGCGAGTTCGAAGTTAATATATTTTTCCGGGCAACGAAGTACCCCCGGGTACTCAACGTCGGAGAGAAATATTATAAATTGCAACAACCCGGGCGAGACTAAGGCGCAATTTATCAATTTTTTCTTCATCCGATTCCGTGAGCTCGTATTAATGTCCATTAAGCTACCGGCGCACGAGCGAACGGTGCATCTCCTTCCGGTGAAATATGCACTGTTACGGATAAGTAAAGCAGCTTTTAAACATATATCATTCTCTCTAACGTCGGGGCAACGTTCTCCTTCCCCGGAAGGAGGAATCGGTTCCGTATTCCGCTCGTCGAACTACCGCGCGACAGGCTTTACGAGCAATTTCATCGAAAACACGCATCCCCTTTGTATCTTGCGGCTAATTTCGTTCCAGGTAGAAATTTTTTTTAAGTACGCGTTTGTACGAGTTCGGCTTTGTGGCTGTTAAAACTGCTGTTCGGTGGCCAGCAACGCGATCAACAAAGGGAGACTTCCCCAAGTAGTCCGAGCAACGATAAAATAAAGTTTCGCCTGGCAAAAAACTGTATCGAGATACTTGAATTCAATAACAATGAGATATGTCATTGCACACTCCTTGCCCCGATAGAATCGTTCGATTATTTCGGTGCAAATGAAAGAAGGAATATCGAATTATCCACGGATGGGGCGAATGATCGATAGTCGAGAGCGAGGGGAGCAGCTCTTTAAAATACGCGGTACACCTTTCCCTCATTTTCATCGTGAAAGCAACCATAATAGCGAACAAAGTCTCTTGAGCCTCGGGCGATGATGTCGGAGGCAGCGGTCCAAGTCAAAGGGAAGCTTGCCCCTCCCCGGCTGAGAAAAAACCCCGGGTGGATTCGCGCTGAAACTGCCCCGGAAACGAAACTCCGCGAAATCTTTTCTTTTTTTTTTTTTTTTACGCGTTCAAACGAGAACTGCGAGCCACCCTCGGCGGTCGTTTACGCTTTTCATTACCTTTGCCAGTATCTTTTCCTTGCCTCGGACCACCCCGACTGCGGGTTATTTATTAACGGAAATCAGACCTTTCCTCGAGAAGACGAACGATATCGAGCACGTATGTATGCAAAAATAAAAAAACCGAATGTTCGATGTTCGACGTTTCGCCAAGTCGGAGATAAAATCCTCGATAATTCCAAAGTCACGAACGAAATTCAGCGATGTTCCACGGTGGTTCCAAAGCAAACATAAAAACACCCGACGACAATGGCTGATTCGCGGTTGAAATTGAATAGAAAATGAATCCTGGCGTCGGGACGGGAGAAGTGCAGCCCTCGGAGCGTTCGCGTCGAACAGAATTTACGAAAGTTTCGCGAACGATCCGGAGCGCATCTGGTGTCGGGGAAGTACAGGTAATTTCAAAGGCGACAGCTATGCGCGTAGCGACTGGTTTCTGGGCCCCTTTATCCACGGCTTTATCCGCGCACGTACGTTACCCAGAACGTGGGAATTAATTAATCAGACAATAGCGGGGTCGCGCTGATAAATGGCTGAGACGGAAGACCGTGATCGATAAGAGACACCGAGCCAACGTCGACGGTGTTATACATTCACGGAGGATCCGCGAGACCGATGGGTAAACGTTTACCTGTTTCATCGACTCTGCACCGGAGACGAGAACGAACTCGTGTAAAATATTCCATCGATATGGGACACTTATCGATCATTTTTGATTCGCGGACCTATACTTTGCATATTGTATTTTTTATTCTAATAAAGTAATATGTTATACACTTTGGACTCTTGGTACTATTTGGAGATCACGTGACAGATTACCTTGAGTTTACATTCATGACTAAAAGATTTACTAGCCTGAATTAACAAATATTCGCATTTGGAGTTTTGTGAACGACACGAAATATTAGGAATTGTTTTCTAGTTCAGTGGACCTATCTTGGGATAGTTATTTACAAAAATTTTGATACGTTGGACGCGTTGATCGCGAGGAGTGACGAACGGATGTATTTGTCGGTTACTCACTATGAGAAGAACGCATCTATTTTCAGCAGTTACACCGCCGCATCCGAGCCAGCTACCGACCACAGCCAGGACACCAGCAACGATCAAAGCGTAAGCTAGCATCGGGTACGTGCTAGTCATCATCAGGGACACGTAGCTGTGCTTCGAAATCACCGTCCAGATACCGATGCCGCCCACAACCAGTCCAGACAGCTGAAACAAAAATAAACGACGTTCAAGGCTCTGCTTACTGTTAACCCTTAATTGGTCGCTGCTCCGTTCGCGTCGATAAGGACTAGATTGATTCGAACCTGTTTCTTCTCCGCGACGCTGGAGAGATAATTTTTTTCTTCACGACCAACAGGAATAGTCCTTCGAGCGAGATACTACTTGAGTGACGTTTCTAATCGATATCGGTATTCTAGGAGTATGCAACTTCTTAACGTTCCATTCAAATATACTATGATATATAACTATGATATAAATTGTCGGCAAAATAATAATTATGAGTTCTATAGTTTGGATGTGGAATCTGACACGTGTAAAATTGATCTCAGGCTCGATCAAGCAGACGACATCGCGTCGTCGTTTTCAAAGATTAGATAAAATTGATGGCGCGTATGTATTGGCCAGTGTATTAATCCCGAGTCTATTGATTAGCAATTATGCTAACTGTCGACCATAGGCTATAACCGAGGAATACTCTCAGCGTCCCTCTCAACGTCATTTGCGGTTCACGTAGCGCTCGCCCCGGGCGATCAACGCGTGTTTCGAATACAAATAACTACATCTAATTGGCTTTGGACGCAATCTAATATGATTACATTACCAGGTCGATATGATTCCGAAATCAGGTGTTAGAGAAATTAATGACACGTCGATACGTTGGCTGGAATATCCCGCGACTCGCAACACGTGACAAATTAATATTTCTATCGACCTGCTTTGGCTCGCGATTCTAACAATACCTTACTTTTCACATTTAAATATGTACGAAATGATGTACGCTGTATAAATAAAACTGTTTCTAAATAATTCTCAATCGTCTCTTTTATTACCCCGTTGCTTCAACAAACGCTACGACAAGATCTATTTCCTGTAAGTTTCAATCAAACAAGAATAATCTCCCGATACACCCAGTGATGCAGACACCTACGATATAGTGGATGGATAAAGGGTAATTTAAATTGTATTTACATTAAAATATAAGCCGGGCTTCCGCGCGTGCGACGATTGGGAAGGTCCGTTGCGCAATCCCCGACACGTGAAACGCGGTTTCGAGAGTTCCATTAATCGCATCGCGTGCGATCAAAGTTGTACTCGTCGGGGCAAGAAGCCCGACAATATCGTTCCGTTCCAATTAATTCATCCGGATTCGAAACACGTGCCCCTCCCTCCCGCCCCTTCGACTTCCACGCGCGGACGGAATAACGACGCGCTGTAATCTGTTTCGCCGCGGCGTCTTCGATACGATCGCCACACGGACAGAACGTTTTATTCAGCGCGATATCGAAGCTCGAATCCCGTTGAATTCCATCGCGGCTCACCAGTTGGAGATATCGTTTCCCGCCCACGGACAGCTGCCGCGCAGGCGACCAACAAAACGTTGTTGATAGCTGCACGCGTCAAATGTCCTTCGGTATCGTTTCGCTGGTCGATTTATCTTTTATTTTCACCGATGTCCCTCGATTTTTTTTCTCCGTGACATCGGTCCCGTCGTCGAACGCCACCCGCGGGAACGACGGCCCCGGAAGGCATCCGGGGAAATATACGAGCCACTACGACGTAAATATCGGTCGACGCGCGATATTTACGGTATCGAGGAATGCGCGATACGTGGGCAGCGCGTACCGTGCCGCACAATGGCCAAGTTTCTATCGCCGGTTGCGAGAAACCGAGTCCTAGACGACGCCGCGCCTAGAAAACGCCGACAACGGCCATTTTTGGCGATTCCGCGGAGGAAGAAGAATCCCACGATCGATCGATAACCCTGGTCTTCGATCCTACCGACAGTGTTTTCCAATTGGATTCGATCGAAACGAAGAGGCGCCCTTCGACGAGTAATATTTTTTATTTAAACGCAAGAGACTGTCGACGAAAGTCTTTACCAGCTATTTTTAGTTCTTCATTAAGTGCTATGTTCTCTGAACAGTTCGCGTCCATTTCAATTAGCCAGCGCTTTGGCCTCTGTTCTCCGATAGCATCGTTCCAAAGTTTTGGCTCCGCTAGATACACATCGAGCCGCAGATGGTGCTTAACGCGTTAAGTTCGAGGAGAATGAATCTTTGTACCCGGAGCGGCTCGACTGATTACACCAGCCACCCGACAGCCATAAACTTCTAGATCCTAATCCCTGCCCGGCAGACAATGAACCTCCATACACGTGTAATCGCATCGTAAAGGATCAACGTTGCCTCGGATAACTTTTCGGCCATTACCGATCTACTTGCTCGTTTCGAGTCAGAAATACCCTTCTGGTTGAAATTTTCAAAACTTTCGAAATGTGTTACTCGTCGAGCTTTTGGAGGTCCAGCCAGAGGAGGGTCCATAGTCCCTGAGACGATCTTATCTCTGTTAAATACCTTCGGCACAGACCCACAAACTGCACCTTCCAAACAGGGATCCATCACTGGGGTGGATGCTGGGACAACCTATTTGTCTTAGATAGTATCTTGTAGTGTTCTCCCGCTACTAGGAATTATGGAAATTGTGTACACTATATTAAAGTAAACAGAAGTAAGCTCCACCCTCTAGTAATAGGATGCTGTGAAAACACTATAACCTAACTATAACCCTTGAATCACTTTTACCAAATTGATAAATGGAAATCAACCTTTCTTTGAAGCATTTAAAAAATAATTACCTAATAGATACGAGGCCCCAATAATCTACTTAATATGGTGCAAAAATTCAACTCTTTTATAACCCCAGAGAAATCTATGGGGCGTCGCCTAAAATACCAATTGGGGGGCTGAATCGATAGTCGCGAGAAACAATCGTCCGTAACCCGCCACGCGTCCTCGATTTCTTTCGACAAAAAAAAAAAATACGAAATGCTTTTATCAAGGATCGAAGGATGAATTTTCGCCAGGAGCGAAGGCACACGAGGATTTGCATCCCCCCGACCGATCGATATATTCTTCTATCGGGTTCGTTGATCGGGGGGCGAGCGTTTCACCGATTCTTTCAGAGCCGATACGACGAAACCGCACCCACGCATTAGACCGTATATCTCCGAGGGAAGAATCCGGGGCCAGGAATGTTTCGAGTCCAAGTCGATACGACCCGGCTACGTATTTATTTCTCTGCGGTGTGCTCGAGCCCGAAGTGGCTCGTGTACGGGGGCTCCACACGAAGGAGGAACCCCCAACTCCCTGCGGGGAGGCTGCACAGAGTCGCCGCTGGACGAGCCCAGCAATTTATTATTTTATCATTGTCCCGAAGGCAGCCACGTATCGCCGCTACGACGTCATAAATCCTCGACGCCGCGCCGTGTGTCGATGCTCTTTGCCTCTCCGCGTATCGGCTCATTTCCTACCTAATATCAACCCCCTATCTCGCTTATGTAACAATGGTATCGCGGTTACGCTCGAAACGATCGCGAATTAACACGTTCATTGCCAAAACCGAAACTGTGTTTTTAGACAATTGGAAAACCAGCATACATTCAGCCTCGTTAAAATTCAAGAGTCCCGTCTAGATTTATTCCTTAGTAAAAAATGTGGGTAACGTGGCAGTCAATGTGTTGATGCAATTTCTAGGCCTTCTTTATTATTATCTTTTAATATAAAAACCGTAGCATTGCCATGAGGCTCTGCACGTATGTTTACTGATATTCGAAGCGTGCACATGTATTTTTTTCGAGCACAAATAATGAAAATTGCACGAGCTGTGAACCATCGAAGAGAGTCCCACTATGCGGGTAGTCCTGTCTAGCTCAATTTCTAAGCCTTCCTTGTCGAATTTTTTAAAAGATAACCGTAAACTACTTTGTATCGAGATTCTGTACATATATTAACTGATGTTTTGAGCATGCACAGAATTTTTTTCGAGCACAAATAATGAAAATTGCAGGAGCTGTGGATCATCGAAGAGAGCCCCATTGGAGCCACCATGGAGGCAGTCCAGGTAATTTTTAGGCGATTTATTTATTATGACGAGGAAACCACTGCATGAGAATATATACGGGATGAATTTTCTCGCGTATCTTCGCGTTCAAAGTAGAACAAAACGATTCATGGTCAGCAGAGGAGTATTTATAACACGTTCAGGCGAAGATTGTTTACAACCATATGGATATCGCCATGGAACCGTGCGATAAGTTAACGGTACTTCAAATAAACCATCGTTGATTCACGGATTTCCAGGGGAACGTTCCAACATCGTGTCTCGGTCGTCCGAACAATGGATCGAACGTCGTCGGAATCCGGGCGGGAATCTCGTAAACCGCTATCGTATTAACAATATATTCTCGGCGAGAGGAAAGCAGAGACCGAGTTGCAACGCATAATATAAATATGATCTATACTCTACGATTCCAAAACGGTGAAGTCCCAACTCGCGTCAAGCACCGAGATATTCCGAACGGTTATAACTTTGTACGAGAACAGACTATGCGGAGTGGTGTGTTTTGAAGACGCGAAGGTTTCGAATGTTTAGAAAGGGTTCGGTAGTTCGGGATAACAAGAAACTAGCTAAACAGACGTCTGGTTATCTAACGTTCTCTATGCAAATAATTTCCTCCAGAACCGCAAGGATAGGATCGTGTTCGAGTCGACGATTACCATACGACAAAATTTCACCGAGAAATACGTTAACAGACGATAAAACAGAGGGGCCACTTGGACACGAATCGAACCGAAACTAAAAGCTGAATTACCACCGTTCTCTTTATCCGACTCTTCTCAATTAGGGCCGAGCGTTCGTAGGCGTTCGAGGTCCAGGTATAAGCGCGAGACGTTTACCCAGAACAGCCTAAAAGCCCCGTTTGGACAGGTTTTCCGGAATTCTAGGAGCAACGTACGCCCCCGCTCTTTCCCCCAACCTGTTCGTCACGTTTCTCTCTTGACCCCGTGCCTCTACCGGGTTATGAATTCGGAAAGCAAATAAAGAGTCGAATATCTAACGGGGCTGCACGGTCATCCTTTTACCGCGTTTTACGCCCCACCTGACAGCCGATGGGGCAGAAAATTCATTTCGATCTTGCGACGATT